TTATATTGGTGAGTAAAAGAAACGAGGTCAGAGGGGTTGCTGAAATAGGCCTACCTCACTACAAACTCTCCATTTTTGTTTTGCATCAACCTACCAAATTAGTGGTAATTAGTGTAACATATGACAATAACTGTATCTTTAAATTGACTGTCCACTGCCACTACGGTTATCTAGCTAGCTCAGTGTTTCCGCTGTTAACATTTATCTGTGCACCCAATTCCGCTGTGAAGAAAGCAGGAGGACGCTGTAGTAACACTGCATGAACAAAGAATAACTATTATGCTTAAACATCCATGTTACAGCTGGCTAAAGAAACTTAACTACTGGGTTTGTAAAAATTCTGAATATAGTGGGATATGCCATCACAAATACCCAGAGCCCAGTGACACCTTCACAGTGCTTATTAATGTTGTGTTTGTGCATTTTACAATTAGTGTCACATTGTTGTCCTTTTGTTTTTTAGGTGTTTGATTATCTCAGTGGTTCTCAAGTTTGTTCATGCCCGCCTCCGCCCCAGCAAAAGAGGACAAGGTTCAGGTTAGCAAAATAGCATATGAATCATATTAATGCAACTTTAGGTCTGCTCAACATCCACGACTACCCTGAAGTGCCTTCAGCAACAAGTTTGAGAACTACTGGTTGATCTGTTTGTATCTTTTTTCATCTGTTGAGGTATGGTGGATGCTGCTGCTTGTACTAGCTTTTAAGCTCTTTGACTTGTAAAACCATTAACTCTGGAACTAAAACAAAGCATTTTGCTGACCTTTAAATCATATGAATGAAGATGCTGTGGTACACTTCAAAAGTTGTAAAATCATTAATCATAAGAGTTGAAACCAAATCAAACTGGAAGTGGTTCATATTTCATTTTATAATCAGTTTATATTTACAAAATGTGAAAACTAAAATACATTAAAAGGATACTCAAATGATTTAGAATTGCACTTCTACAATGTTGGGATGCTTGTGTAAGATGAAAGAACAAAAATGGTAACAACTGATGCAGTTGAGGCTGCAGATAAATCCTGAATTTTGGTCCCAAGTATGTGTCAAGCTCCAAAAATACTGGGTCCTACATCCCAAAATGCATGGTTAATGCCCATAATTTTCATTCCATACCTCGCAGTTTGTATTGCAGGCTTCCCCTGTTTTCAAAAGCTGTGTAGTGCTCATGACGAGCAAACCCAAGTTCGTGTACAGGAGTGCCCCTTTACCACCGAAATATAAAATTGTTAAATTAAAGTTAAATTGACAGTGGGCAAGTACAAAATGGAAGCTTGGCCAGAATAAATGTTTGGCTCAGATTCTACTAATAGATCTTTTCACACAGATATTTTGACTTGTCATAGCAAGAGAAGCACAGATGTAGATAAAATTAATGATGGCTCCATTAATGGCTCTGCCAGTGAGCCAGCAGGTACACTGCAAGGGGCCTGGACCTGGCAAGTGCCTGGGATACAGCCATCATTAATCTGAAGTACACTCAGCCCTTTCCTGTTACGACATGTCAAAATGCCTGCTGTGAAAAGGTCATCAGGTCTCCTAAACATGAACTTTAAACTGACATCTGCAAAGGATCCAACTCCTGCAGTGAGCAATGATCACAGACTCATTCAAAGAGTGAAAATCATCAATAGAAAGGACAAGCAAAGCAACATTGGTTTGCCTGAATGATGCCATTTTTCTTTACTGCAGTGATTTTGTAAGATTATAAATACTGAAATCAGCGAAGCATCTGGAGTCAGCAACAGTTGTGTATTGGGATCAAATTGACAGGTGAGAAACAAACCTGTGTTTGATGCAACGTGTTTTAAGCATCGCTTCAGATTTAAAAACCCCCTCAAGCATTTTCCCCACATAACTTTTCCTTTACCTCAGTCTTTCTCCCTGTTTGACACCCCCTCCCCCTCCACACACACACGCATGCACACTACCACTCATAAACCCTCTCCTTGTCTACTTGCACCTTCTCAAAACCAAAAGGTGTAAAGTTGATTTACTCCTGTTGTTCCTCGCTGTGTCTCTCCTGGCTTGGAGAAAATTGTGTGTGTGAGTGTATGTGTAAGTGAGGAGAGATAAGAAAGTGAGAGAGGTTTGAAGGTAGAGAAAGAGTTCGCTTAGTGTGTCTTGAGTAAAGTGAGCATGCGTGTGTATGTGTGCGCACATGTGGTCTCAGTATAAACAAAGAGATGAAGTAGACAATGTCCAGTTAGACATGCCTGCTTTACTGTCTTGACACTGTTAAGTGTGTGTGTGTGTGCGTGTGTGTGTGTGTGTGTGTGTGTGTGTGTGTGTGTGTGTGTAGGTGGATACAGAAGGTGTTAAGGCATGAACACACTGCTAGATTGTCACTATCAAGGTTGTGTGTACGTGTGTGCCTGTGTGTGGTAAGGGATGAATACTCTGCTGACTTGTCAGAGTTGAGGATTTTGCCCGCAGCTACTTTGTCACATTTACAAAGTGGGATTGTAAGTCGCTCTGGATAACAGCATCAGCTAAATGCCCGAGATACAAATGCAAAATGATATATACAGCTGTGTAAGCATAAATACATACCACGGTGGTGCAGACTCACTCTTAAATAACACTTGTTTATCCACAAGAGGTTTACAGTACAATCTGTCAGAAATAACATACTAACTAGTTTATAACTCTGCAGGCCACATTGCTGACTACTAACAACTTACTGCCATTAAATCAGTGTTCTTGTTTCAAATCATGCTAATTGCTTGTCAGATCTTAACAGTTTCTGCTGGAGTTTGCATACGGAACAGGAGTGCACATTGTTAGGCTCCATGTATGATTTTAAGAACAGCTAGTTTGCAGCAAAATAAATACAAGTTGAATAAATAAACGATTAATATTTTGCCTTAACTGCATGCATGATACAGACATGTTATACCATGTGTGGGGAAAAAAAGCAGATATATAAGAGTTACCAGAATAAAGTTGGATGATTTCTCTTGTCAAACAAGGTTTCTAAACCATATTTAACCATTTCATTTCACTGGATTTCAAGGGACTGACAAATTATTTGATCTACTCAGTAGATCCACAAGAGCAGCATCAGTTTTTCATGGTCTTGGAATTATAAATGTTAAATATGTGTAGAGCCCCACCGATATGGGTTTTTGTGATTCGATGCCGATATTAAAGTGAAAAAGAGCCGATTTATGAGTCGATATTTTGATTTGGGGTTGCCTACACAGGCAAGCTCCGCTTTAATCTTGAGATGCTGTAGAGCTGGTCTCTATTCATTCAACTTACACTGTAAATTTCCAACTAAACTGAGGCTTTTTGAAGACCCTTTTCTCTCTCTCGTCAGTTATTCACTGTCTTGTGTGAGTTTTGTCTGCATGCTATGCTGCCTGAAAACTACATGCACATCGCGGTTCCTCGCGGATCTATTTCAAGTAGCCGGCTATTTAAAAACGATATAATATTATTTGTGTGGTTCATCAATGGTGATACAATTATCCCAAAGTCCAGCAAGGTGCTGACAACTCAGCACAACACCGGTGAAGCTGGGCCCCATCTCTTCAGCAAGTGTTCCTCTTCCGCCACCACACACACACGCGCGCGCGCTATGCCTGCAAATGCGCACTGACGACCCAGGGTTACAATTTTGGATTTATTCACGCACTTTCAAAACATTTATTGAAAGTTTTATTCTTTTTACATGTTTATTTACAGGATTAAACATTTAAATGTATATTGTAACTTATTGGGAGAAAACTGGTAGTTCTATGTAAAATCAGACGTTGAGCACCCCCATATCAAAATGGCATGATCCTTGTTTGACTGCGAAGCGTCGACTGTGAGATTGACAGTCATCAGGCTCCGCCCATCGAAGCATCGAATCTTCGACTATTGGGGGTCAGCCCTACTAATGTTATAACTAATACCAGAGCTTTTATGGCTCTGACTACAACCTTTCACATCTATAACGTCCCACAAAAAGGAGTTGCAGGAAGCCCTGTTAAATCTTGTTCAGCTCACATTTATTTACATGTCCGCTCTGGTTCAATCATTTCCGACATGCCGACATTAACTGCAGACAAGAAACGTCAGAAACTATAGTTTAACTGCTCATTAACGGGTAGTGTTAGCTGCTGTACGTGATTTTAGAGAATATTTAGTGATGAGAAATGAGAGGACCGTTCACAAGAACTGCCACACTGTTTTTAAAAATAAATCTACAATCACTTCTGTCAGCAGGGTATAGCCTCCAACACCCAACTACTGTAACATTAAACACTGCTGGAGCCTGGAAGAAGCCGGGAGAGGGCAGGGAGGGTTTGCAAGTCATTAATGTTTTCAGGAGAGGAGAAGTGATTGGGTCTGTTTATATTATAATTATTTAAGTCATGTAATTAACATGACAAAGTACCGACTCACCCCTGACACAGCCCTCTCCGTGGTTCTACATGCAGCGGTAAGCTCCGGTAGACTCCGGTCAGCTGATTGTTTTCTTTTGTGGTTTTTCTGGTGCAGCAGTGTTGATAACAGATGAGCAGCAGAACTCCCTCTAGTGGGCATACTATGCAACACTCATGACATGAGTGAAGGATCTGTCTTTGTGTTTCTTAATCAACAATCATATATCTGCTGTTATAAACACTGATGCCGATTAAATGCGCTCAGCTCATATCTGCCGATAATATCGGCCGAGTTCTAAATATTGGTATATATAAATAGGCCGAAGTGAACAAAATTGTGAGGATGAGCCATAAGAGATTAGCTCTCACTATTAACCTTGATCTAAACTTTAAATTGTAAAGACTGCCAAATCTTATGTCACAAAATTGCACTAAACAAAAGTGTGAAATTAAAAACAACTTGCACGCAACATGCACACACACGCTACCATTGCCTGCTGAATGCAGTAAGTAGTGCAGCAATGCACACAATCACACAGGCACAGATAGAAACATGCCATCTGCACCATACACAAATACAATATGCAGTGTAAAATAACGCTACATAACAGGCACACTTACCGGCTCTGTCAGTTCCAGTACATTAGCCCTATATGTAATGGGACTACAGTCACGGGTGTTTCCCACAAGCGCACATGGTAGAAACATAGGACCCAAGTCATCACCATCCAGTACATCCACAGTTAGAGTGGTGGTGGCTGTGCGGCGCTCACTGGGATAGGGTGCTCGGTCCTAGACAGAGAAAGAGAGCTTTTATTTTATTTTTGCACTTTCTTATTTAGATATTTGCACGTCTTTATCAATGGAAAGTGACCACAACACTGTCCTGCTGAATATTTGAAAGCTTTCAAAGGCTGGTGTCTGCTTGACTTATTTTTTACTTAATCAAGAGAAGACAGACATCTAATGTAAATGGTTCAGATCCCACAGACAGTGCAGACATGACAAAGAGAAGCTCCTCTGCTTTCCAGCAATGTATGTTATGTATTTCATTAACAATGTTTTAAGAAAGCTAGTAAAGTAAGTAGATTACACAGATTTTACCTCAGCAAAAGTTTTTTTTTTAAAACTGGCAAAAGCTATAGGAAATTCAACCAACATTGTAAATAAACATTGCAATGCTCCCACTCCCATCGGTCGCTGTTCAACGTGTGGCCAAAAAAAGAATTAAACATAGAAATAATAATGTTCAACATCTTTCAGGCTTAATTTAAGAACATCAATTAGATAAGAGAAGAGCTATAACCTAACGTGGTGCAAGCTCTTTTTGTAGCACAATCCAAGTAGATTAGGCATTTGAGCAATGGATTAAATAAACAAAAGTATTTTAAATCTTAATAAAACACACAAATCCGCTATTCAATGAACAGGCAGTAAAAATAAAAATTTAAATATATCAAATAACCCTACACAAATCTGGATTCATTGAAAGATTAGAACAGTCTGAATGTGCAGGGTAGATTAAGTACTTACAAAATCCATTTCATCAAGTCATTAAAAAAGTTAGCCCAATCTCCAACGGCCTTACTGGTGTAATTTAAGAAAAAAAGCATACCATAAAACTTCAATTAATAGCCGAGTCCCTTATAGCCATCTATGCAGTTTACTGGCCTGGTGTGGGAACACATTTTGAGTCTCCATTAAACACCTGGTTTTTATAGAAGTTGTTTGGGTGGATAAAACCTCTTAAACCCTGCCGGGTTGCACACTTTAGCTACTTCTCAGCTGCTTAGATTTTTAATACAAATTGCATGATCAATATATCAGTATGGACATGCTAAACATTGTTAGATCGGTTAGATTCTCCACAATTCAGTCGTTCAGTTCATTTAACGGAAACAACAAGCCCCAAAGTCGAATTCTTATAGATTTACTGGTGTAACCGGCATGGTAGGAAAGAGATGAGAGAGAAAAAAGTGCCGACTCCCATTACCTTTGAAGCTCTAGTTAAGTTCTTTCCTTGATGATTTATATTCCTTTGGTCTGTAAGTGTCCACCGATCAAAAGAATCAAAACAGCTTTTCATAAAAATGAATCCAAGTTGTGAATCCAGTCATGTAAAGTCCATTGCTCTGTTAACTTTTGCCACACTTCTCTAATACTGCACCATGTTGTTGTTTTCTTTAAAGTTCAGTTCAGTTCAACTTTATTGTCATACTGGGGGTCCATTAGGAAAACATAGAGCATCATTACAGACACGCAACACCTCCTAAAAAACACAATTACAAAAGAAAAAAATAGTTATACCAATGCTTCCACGGAGGTAACTGGTATTGTACAACACAAATAAAAGCCCGGGCTATTAATCAAAGTTTTACGGTACCTTAATTATCTACATGATAAGGGGTTAGTAGCACATAGTTGTAAATTGTAGCTTATCCAGTTACTGTTTCTACTGTTTATTGCTAGCCAAAATTAGAATCCCAATTAATATCACAGTTTATATGAATTACAGATGCACCTTGCTAACCAGGCTAGCTAGCTCCACCCCCCCGAATACGGCAATGGCCAAAATGCCAAACTCAAGGCTCATGACCTGATATGTGATATGCTGCCCCCTATTTTATTGGAGAATGAATTTTGACAGGTGGAGAGTAGTCTCACTTCTTACAAATTATACCTTTACTCAGCCTACTTTAGAACTATTTTGAGGTACTTTACTTGAGTATTTACATTTTCTGCTACTTTATACCTCTACACTACTACACTTTCAGAGGGAGATATTTTTCACTGCCTTTATTTTAGGGCTTTGCAGATTACATACATCTGAAATGAGCCATTCTTATATATATTTAATAGTATGTTTTGTTGCTTTAACTTAACTGTTTTTTTTCCCACTTTATTAATTTTAGTCTCTTTAAGATCCTTGAGAAAGCAGTCACCAATCAGTAGTGTGACTTTCTACATAACAGTAGTTTATTTGAGGATTTTCAGAATTTAGAGTGCATTATAGCACAGAGACAGCACTGGTGAAAATGACAAATGACCTTCTAATTGTATCTGACAAAGGACTTGTCTCTGTACTTGTCTTTTAAGATCTTAGTGCTGCATTTAAAGACTGGAATATTTAATAGGCATTAAAGTAACACCGCTATTCCTATTTATCAGATCGATCTCAGTTTGTACATGTTAACAATTAATCCTCCATGCACACAAAAGTTAATGGTTCATGGTTCTGTGCTTGGACCAATCCTACTGACCTTATACTATATCAGGGGTATTCAATTAAAATTTAAGGAGGTCCAGTTAGAGAAAATTTCGCAAAGCAAAGGTCCAGAACATCAGAACAACTAACTTGCATTATAATTCAGTGCCATAACGTATAGTTGTATCAGTGCATGTTTTTAGTCAACAACTGACTGTCAAATCAAATAATATTTCAACAATATTTACGGTTTTCACATCAAACTGGAGGGAAAACTACTCTAATAATAAATTCTAAATTTAAGTAAACTAAAATAAAGTGCTTAATTTCAGAAAAAAATGAAATAAGTGTAGCTTGAAGTGATTAAAGTGTAGTCTCAACCAATTTTTTAATAGACACTCAACACATCTTAACAAATGAACAGCTTTAATGCCTCCTCTTCTCTTTCATTTCTTCTTACTACTTTCCTACTTTCTCTTGTTCAGTGAGAAACATGAGCTCTGGCTTGGACTGGAGATTTATGAGATACTCTAGTTTTAAACTGCCTGTGGGAAAAATGTACATGTAAGAAACCATACATTCTTGATTAAAAGCCATGTCTCTTTTCTCTTTGGAAAACATTGGTCTGTGAGTTTCCTTGGCGACCTAAACTAGTACACTAAATGCTACAAAAGCTGTGCAGGTTAAAACAGAAATGCTCCATCACAAGGTAGTAATTCTCAACAAAAATCTGCTTTAGGTCCGTGACCGGAGAGGACAGCGGCTAGGTCCCGATTTGGACCGCGGTCCGCCAATTAGTGACCTTTGTTATATATGCTTCCTTGTTATTAGGAAACGCTCTATAAACTTATATTTTTATGCATAAGATACCCAATTATATCTATCAATCAAGCCTGTTTATAATATATGTCTGAATTATTACATGAGTATTGACTCATTTTTGCATTACATTCATTTGTATAGTCAAAATAAAGCTAATATAAAGTTAAGTTAATAAAGTTAATTTTATTAATATACCGCAAATGCTTGTATTGCGTAGGCCTTAAGCTTTTGGATTGAAAACCAAATTTATTTTAAAAAGGGGGATTCAAACAAAAAATATCTACAGCTCTTGTCATTGTATCTGAATCAATGTTACACCTGGGGGCCTCTTACATTTTATTCACCAAGAAAATGTATTTAATCCTAGTAATACATTCAAGTGGAAGTGTTTGTGTGTGTAAAGATGTCTGAAAAATCTCACACCAAAATGTATGTGTGTTCAGTTTTTATTTCAAGATAATTAAGACAAATACAACATTTTTGTTTATTTTGTAAAGTTCTCAGAACTAAATAGCCAAATCAGGGAATCTACAGGAAACTCAAACTCTCAGAAACTGAATAATCAATGCAGCCATAACAAAACTCAAGATTATATCTGCTATTTCAAATTAGTTTTACCATTTGTTTCCCTCTTTTCAAGAGAAGCAGTTTTCTGCTAGTAAACTATTATTGTGTTCCACAAACCTGTTTTATTATTCTTTAACTACACCTGGGTTGAGCATTTCTCCACCACAGCATTACATTATGCTCTCCTTAGTGTCAATCACCTGACACTTAAAGAAAGCAATAGAGGTCTCTGCCAGGAAATAATCTCTTCAAAACATGGTGCTTTATTGTAACTTCCGTGATTTTGTGGGCTGTCTTTCATAACCAGGACAGCACTTAAAAGCAACGACTGAAAGTCTAAAGAAATGACACACTGCATGCATTGCAAAAAATGAAATGTAAGCTAGATGGTAACTGTAAAGAATAGACAGTATCTGCATATAACATAGGTACTGTATTTATTAATTCTGCAATTGTTCAAACGCTGCCTACATTACAGGCTTTAAAATATCTAATCTCCACATAGGTTTTTGTCACTGAAGCTATCCAAAATTATATTTGTATATATAATAATAATTAGATTTAGATTAAGATAATAATATTGATACCACTCTCATAGCCATGAAGCTACAACTAGGACATGGTTATGGCATAACCCCCCATAAAACCAAAATATTTACACTTAAGATTTTTGTACAAATAAAACAAACCATATATATTGTGTTAATTAGGGTGCTGCAGTGGTGATGGTACGTAGAGTTTGCTACCTTCGGACAGAACCAAGCTAGTTAGCTGTTTCCCTTCGCGTCCAGCCTTTAAACTAAGCTAAGCTAACTTGCTGCTGATTGTAGCTTCATATTTATCGTACAGATAATAGTATCAATTTTCTCATCCAACTTTCGGAAAGGAAGTTAAAAAGTATATTTTCAAAATGAATTCTTTTCATTGCTAATGATATGCACTTATCGTATTTACAGCTATAACATGTAAGGAATATGATAAAATATAAAAGAGTAATTAAAGATACATCATTATTATTACCGTTATTTAGGTTAATTATTTAGATAAGGTTATACGTTTACATGGCTCAAAAATTACTGCTTCATTGTTTTTAACCATAATTGTACCGCTGAAAAGCCCCCCCTTGTTGCTAAGAATTTATTTTCATCAAATTCCCATACACAACACTCTTAACATTGTACTCAAATGAACAGTGAATATGTGAGGCTTTCAAGCTGTCAGAAACACATTAATCTTTCAGTGTACTGTTGACCTTTAATAATGCTTTCAGGGGAAATGGGCCTTGAGACATATGAATATCTGCCTGAATACTTGGTTGAGAACTAAATGTTTTGTAAGCAAAGTTTGCATGTCACAATAAAAACCTTAATGGCACAATCAGCAACTTAAAACACTTTCTGTCATGCATCAGTTTAGATCTTAGTGAAATAGTACAAGGCTGTGTAACAGTAATGTTACCATGATAATAAGAATGTACATAAATATAACACCACGTTAGGCTGTGGACTTTTTGTCAGACATTCTTTACCTTTTTAAAAATTTCAACTTGTTATAATAGGCTATATGGAAAATTACTCAGAATTGGTCTTGGATAGCTGCCCAGACAAGTGCAGGCGTACTTACACATAGTAAAAAAACAAAAACCACTTACATTTGCCTGTATGATGACCAGGTACCGCGTTATCTCCTCATAGTTGAGTCTTTCTCTGAGAACTACTGAGCCAAACAGTGTCAGGGGGATGTCAAAAGTTCTGTTTGTTGTCTGAAACACACACAAATGCATAACACAAACATCTGAGTTACATACAAGGTCAAAAGTTCATTTTTTAGAGCTCAAACATGTAATAGTAGTGGGAGGAAGTTACACCAGTATATGTGCTGTAGAAGTGACCTGTTTGCTTGTTGTCATGACAGACTGTAACTTTTACAATGGTTTTATTAAAATTGAATGTTTAACAGTCTTATTATCTTTTTTATTATTATCTATTTGCACACAAAAATGCACCCACACTTGTCCCTGTTACAAGATTTTAAGTTCTCATATTGTGTAGCCTGCTGGTAAACTGATACAGTATATCAATAAATGAATAAATATCCATCAATATGTTGAGGTGCGGGAAATTTAAATTTAAAATACAGAGGTACATTTTTTTTATTGAGAACAACAATCCGTGTAGTTATTTATTTTGATCTATTTTAAAGGTGCAATAAAAATTGATGGCATTTTTTTTTTTTTTGAGAAAGGAGTGATTGGTAATCAGCGGGCAGCTCTTCTCTTTCAAGAGAAAAGCCCCTCCTGTTGTAGCAAGAAGTCTTCCTTCTACGCCCTTCATTCCTCCCCAGTCTCAATGGCCTCTTGTTCGTAGGTCTCTGCTCGGACCCTCAAAAATATTTCTTTATTTAGCACAAGAATTAGGGCATACTCACACTACTAGCCTGCGCTCACACTGCGCCTAACTATCCAAGCTGGAGCACGTTTACGTCATCACTCCAGTGTTTCCAGTACATTGATTATTTGTGGCGGCCTGCCACAGAACCAACGCCGACCGCCACATATTGATTTTTTTTTTTGCTAGGCCTGGCTACTTAAAATCGTATTTGATTGCACAGCTACGTGCAGCGCACATATTCGCACAGCACCTCGTCTCACTCGCTCGCTCCATCTCTCTCTCATGAACCCCGCTGCACACACCAAGAAGCTGTCAATGTCGAAGACCCACCTTAAAAAAATTATTAGGAAGCATGTAAAGAGGCTAGCTAATAAGGTGTGTTCACACTGAACGTGAAGTTAAGACACGAATACTACAGCTATATGAACCCAATTTAAACCTTTTGCTGTGATTTAATTGCAATAAACGGATCAAACTGATGCCAATAAAACTACAATATAATGCCGATTTGTTAGACAAAGGTATTCATGCTTTGTCAGGTCTGTCAGCAAGTCAGCAGGACATCAAATTTTTATATTTGTTTGTGTTTGTTTTCTGAATGCTAACCTGTTCACAGTAAAGTACAATAATAGCTGGAATAAAGTTACAGACACATATCTTCTGAACTCACCAGGTAGTTCAACTTCCTCGCTTTCTTTTCTCCAACTAATGTCCAGTTTTGTCCGTTTTTTATATAAATATGAAGCAGTAGTCCAACAGAGCTCTGGTGCCATCCGATGCTAACAACAGTGGGACCGGATGTGCATGAAAGCTAGCTGCCGAGAAGCGCGAGTGAAGATAAATCAAATTGTAATCCCAAAAACTAAAGTAAAAAGCTAATTTAATAAAAGCAGTTAACTCAGAGCTCCTCCTGGCGTAGTTGTCAGAGCAGAATCCAGACCGACTACGGGTGTTTATTTGTCCAAAAGCTGCAGTGCTGCTCCCCGTACACTTCCCCGTTCTTTAGGAGCTCTCTGATTGTCATTACACCGCTCACAGGGTCCTCTCCAAACAACGCTCCAAAGCCGCTGGTGACGTTTGGACAATCTCATCGCTGACTGGCTTTCACGACATTGCTGCAAGCGAATTTCTCGCCCAAGTTGAAAAGTTTGAGCTCGCGTGAATCAGCATACCGTGTTGGAGTCCAGCTTAACTGCGCCCTGGCCCACACCTGGCACTTCAAATGGGCCCGGGCACGGCACCGAACGATCACACTGGTCAAACAAACCGGACTTTTGGGGTTAAACGTGCTTGGACATGGTACAGATCGCATAGTGTGAGTACGCCCTTAGTTCCACGATGTCTCCAACAAGAGCTTCCTGTTTCTTTTCCTCCTTTTTCAACTTAACAGTGAGCATCTGACTTTCAGCTGAAAGCTTCTCTGTGAGCATTGAGGTCTCATCCAGTCTTTAGAAAAGTGCCTACCAGATTTTAACAGCCTCCAGTTTGCTCCTCTCTGCGTCCGCCCTCATTTTCTTCTCTATCTGGAGCTCTCGGTCAAACTCTTTACAAATGTCCTGAGGTTTTCAATCTCTGCCTGGCTCCTCTAGCCCTTTTCTTTCTGAAACATTTGCTGCATCTCCAGGATATAATGACAAAGTTGATCCTGTTTGGTTTTCTCAGCTAAACGCTCCTTTGAGACACTGAAGAGTTTCTCTCTCTGGAGTTCTTTGTTGAGATCCTTCCCCTCTTGTTTGGCCGCAGTGAGCTCTGTGACCTGCCTCCCAGCTGAATGTTTTGTTTTTGCCTCCTCAAGTTGCTAAAGATGTTCTACCACTGTTGAGGGGCAGGCGACCTTCTCTCTGCTTAGCTCATGATTATTCATGGCTTAAGCTATCAGAAGCTCATTCTTCAGCTCCTCAATCTTCAGGAGCATGGCCTGTTTGGTCCTTCCTCTCAGCTGAGATCAGAGCTTTGTAGTGGTTTTAGGCCCTGGTGATGAAAGGGCCTCCATGTCTCTGGAAGGACCCTGATCTCAACCTGATAGATGTTACAGAGGTCGCTGGTCAAATGTTTGGCTTTCAGCTGTTTCATTCTCTGATATGTTAAATTCACTAAAACGTGTTTGATTACACACTGTGATAAATGTTTGTGTGAAAAGACCTCTGGTTCTCGTACTTGGAAGTGAACATGTTGTTTGCATCTAGCTCTGTATAATTCGAGAACATTACATGTCATAACACGTTAAGACCATGTTGTGACCCCAATGAATTCTGGAATACCATTACGGCTGCGCTGATGCCTGCTGTGTAAGAGAGGAACACCCAAATGTGTCAATACTAAAATACCATATAACCTGGCCAGACCATGATTTAAAGAGTTCAGCAAGCAGATGTATGACCTACCGGTTCTTTCGGGTTGTACTGAATGGTGTACTCTATCTGTCCATTGGGACCGTCATCAATGTCTGTTGCCCCATTGTTCCCAGAGAAGCCGGAGAAGATAGTGGTTCCTACTGGTGTCAGCTGAAAAAACAACAGGGAAAATTTCACTACCTTTGTCTACAAGCTCACACTACATGATGTCAAACACAAACACTTTCATACTCTGTACTACTGACATAAAACAGCTTCTATCCTGTACTGCTGACAGTGTCATGCAAAAATCTACTGTCTGTATGTGGTAGAGATGAGGAAGGGACACATTAAAAAACTCTTCACATGCATCTGTCCATAAGGGATCTTGACACCCCACTGTCTCTACAAAACAAACATAAAATGACTTGCGGTTTTATGTTTATTGTGCTCAAATGGGGCTTGAAAAAGAAGATCAGCTTGCAGCTGTTTGTGTGCTTTCATTTGCTCAAACACAGACAAAAACACAAGCAGCATGGTTTGTCTGACTTTCTTTCTCTCTGTCACCACTGTGAATGTTTGCTACACCTCATTGCCCCATTGAACAGAATTTTTTAGATTAAAGCGGGACAATGGGTGATTGAAAACCATGTATGCTATGTTCAAAGGGCTTGTCACTCACAGGAAAAACAGAAAGTGTAGATATCTTTATATTTATTTTGGACATATTTCATCAAAGAAAAATAATAAAAACTGACTGGACCCAAGTACTCCCCATTATAAAATAATGAATCAGTGTCAAAACAGATTGCAGAAATGACCAAAAGGGTGTAGGTAGAAACCATTGCTTATTATGCATAGTATGTATGAAATTAACAAATTTAAGGAACAAATTACAGACAATTCAATCCAATATGCCACGGTGTGTAATTCCTGATTCATTCTCACTTTGAGTATGGTTCTCCGGCTGAAGTCTAAAAGCATTCTTCACCAAAACAAACTCACCCCATCAGCAGCAGATTTTGCTTAGGAGGTGTGCTGCAAGTAATGGCTGTTGAAGAGCATTTTTATGAAGGAGTTATGAAATTAAACATTATGCTTTTCACAATGTTTGCCAATTGTTTGTTGCTAACCAGTATTCATTGTAATTTAAAACAAATTCAACTAGTACAAATTTTCATGTTAAATAGTTTCTATCATTTTTACTTGTCACTGCTATTGCTATGTTAGCTAGCTTGTAGCTAATCATTTTTATACAAAGAGAACTAGCACATTTTTCAATGTAGCCTACTAGCGTAAGCTGTGGTAGCTGTTTAGCTGCCTGATGTTACACCAGCACCAATTACTGTAATATTAGCTATTTTGCATATGTAGCACATAGGTACTTTTAGCTAACCAATGTTACACTTCCTTCAGACAGCTGAAATTATAGAAGCTGTTTGTAGCTAACCCATGTTCATTTCGGGTTCAAACAAACTAAACTAACTTTTCATTGAAAATTAGTTTTAGGTTTAATATGTCTATATTTTTTCCACAATGTTGTTTTTCTTTTGGCAAAAACTATATTCACAAATCTAGATAAATATGATATCCTTTGGAAAGTAGTTTTAGTTAGTATACAAACAAATTAAAGCCATATCAACCTTTGTTTACAACTTTTAATATAGATTTCAGCTTTCATTTGTGCTTTTAGTTTCACTTTAATTTTCACTGCACACGTGTAATAAGATACTACTACTAATAACAACAACAACAACAACAACAACAACAACTACAACAACAATAATAACTAGAACTGCAAGCAGTTATAAGGGGGGTCCAAGCCTCCTGGCGCAAGCCGCCCCCCCTCGCCCCACGGAGGGTGTGCGAGTAGGCCTGGGCACTCAGATGCGGCTCGGGCGACCCGTGGAGAATAAATGAGCATAGTTGTAAATTAAAGGGGCTTGCGGTTACGTAGTTGTGAAATGAGTGTATGTCTATGTGAGTGTTATTTGATTTCCAATTAATAGCGCCACCTAGAGTTCGATTGATGCAAAATTTCACAAAGCCCCTCAGGAGGGTGTGCCAGATAAGGTCCCCAAGTTTGGTGTAGATCGGCCATTGCAAACATAAGATGTGACAGGACATCCTGTTTTTAGCGTTTGCGCTAAAATTAGTTGCTGTAATTCGGACGTTTTTTGGCGGATCTCCTTTTCAAACTTTCTTCGGCTCGGTCCAGAGATGGTCTGTGCCAAGTTTCATGGCGATCGGACTTGCGGCTTCGGAGGGGTTAATTAAAATAGGTTTTTCAGTTTCCGCGATGTAGCGAAAAAAAAGTTTAAGGGGAAATGGGTGTGGCCTATACCAGGAGATTCAGCTAGATCCCCTGAACGTGTGGATATAAGGTTTTGCATATGCGCCTTCGTATGCGGGAGTTCCAAGCCGAAACGCATTGACTTTGCTTGTAGTGCCCCCTACAGGTAGAAGTGTGCGAATTTTTTCGCCTGCCGTCGTCTCATGGGTCTGAACCTGTGAGTTTTGTGTCTGTAGCACTTACCGTCTAGGCCGCAGTATTGGAATTAAGCAAAAATGTACGTAAGAATAATAATACATATCTGAGCGAATACAACAGGGTTCCCAGCTCCGCTGGTACTGGGAACCGCGATGCCTTGCATTGGTGGGTTCCCAGCCTACTCGGGTTTGGACCCCTAATAATAATTATTTATTTATAAAGCACATTTTGTACAAAGGTTTGCAGCTCAAAGTGCTGTACTTAAAATTAAGTTAACAAACCCAAGCAAAACACATCCAGAACATGCTAAAATAATACAAGCAATGGTAAAAGATGATAAATAAATAGATTTAAAAAGAAAAACTCACTTTCTAGAATAGAAAAGCTAGAAATCTCAAAGATTTTCTGAGATTTTCTGTGCCACAGCACATGAAAGGAAGAACTTTGCCAACCATAAATTGCTGTGCTGTATATACTTTAATTATGTGTCAAAATAGAAGTCTAATCTGCGGGCTGCATGAGAAACATTTGAGATTAAGTTTAATTTAGCTGCTGTACCAATGATTTGTTACATCATTTCCCTCAACAGGGTTATCTCTGCCTCCCACTGATCCAACAATGGTCTCCAGAACGTCTCGTGCTGTCACTTTGCCACTTTTGGATATGTCTCTAATGAAACAACTCCAGACTAAGGCACCAGTGCCAACTCATGAAATCAGGCACAGGGATCACCTTGTACCCCGAAACTTTCACAGTGAACTCATAAATTGTGTCCTAGACGTTCTTATAAATAACCAAACTGCCTCTCTTAATCTGTCTGCCTCACTTTCTTGCACTCAATAATTGTTAGGAACAGACAACTAAAAGCAGGTTTAATGTAGATGAAGCTGGATGAACTGCCGAGTCACTCTCTTAACATTAAATTTACTGCATTACGTGGTTGGAGTTCTTGCGGCAACATAAGTGAATTGGACAATAGCTGTCAGCCTAACGAGCGGGTTTGGACTCAAATCTTAATTATTGCCCACATCAGAATAAATGTATTCACATTTTTTAAATTATTACCACCATATTTACCTTGGCCTGGCACACGAACCATATTTTAGAGATTTTTACGATGCATCTCCTAAATTGTATGGTGTTTTTTTTAAAGTGAATGGAGGGAATTATTTTAGTATGAGTAATGAGAGACTGGAGAGCTGTAAGAGGTGGCAGGGGGAGGAGGAAGAAAAGACAACCAGAAATATATAGAGTGTGGCAGGGGAAAGGTGGAGAGGTTGAGAAAAGGTGACATAATGAAGAGCTGGAAGTGTTGAGGGGGCATGGAAGTGGGAGAGCAGCAAAAACAAGAGAAGAGAGGCCAAGAGAGAGAAAGGGAGAGGTTGAGAAGACAGATTGAGTTGGACAGGCTGTGGAAGACTGTATAATGAGATATTCTACTGGGTATGCCTAGGTCTGTGCTGGCAGCAAGCTACATGTATCCATGTCCAGTTTAAGTTTGAACCTTCTCTAGTTAAATTCTGCTTCACCAGACTCTGGAGGACACACTAACTGTGGGATTGGCATCTTAAAGACTATTCTGGAAGCCTCAGAATAACAGATTTATTTCCTTTCCTCAGCTGCCCAAAAACTTTACTCTTCAACTTTAGTCTGACACCAAAATGCCATGTACAATACTATTTGGTAGAGGTTTTTATTTAAAATACACAGTAGTGTGCACCTATAGCAGGCTACACTTTCTGAGGTGCTAGTGCTAGTGCCACACATGACCCCCAGAGCTGCATGGGAAAAGCTTGGTACAGTACAACTTATGTGCTGTACTCATGCTGAACTAGACTGTAGTTCTCTCTCCCCTTATTGTCTCTAGTCTATCTAGAATCATGTACCCGCCATCATGACAAACAGCAGCACTGCAGGATAAGTGCAATAAATGGATCTTGATTTGGGTGAAAGACTGTAAAGTATTTCCACCACACGTGACTTTTATGGATATTTTTGACTACATTACGTCTCTGTGAGAGGTTAGAAGAAGATTTTCTGGTTGTATGTTTGTGTGTCACTGTTTGTGTGTGTGTGTGTGTGTTTTACCTCACTGACAGCAACATAGTATCTTGGCTGTTGGAAACGTGGTGCGTTGTCATTGCGGTCTCGAACGACGATGCGGACTTCATGTAAAATCACTGTGCCAACCAGCTCATTGGTACACTGAACCTGAACCACAATGGATTGAATATATGAAGGGGGCTGGAAAAGGGAAAACAGAGGGGATAGATATATAGTTAGAAGATACAAGTAGTTGTACAGTAGCAATAAATAATTAACCAGAAAATACAACAAAAATGATTGCTCAGAATACTGCCAGCCTCTATTATGCTTTTTCTGCCAAATCAGACTTTCAAAAACATCTGCCGGAATACTTTACAGAACAAAACAGCAGGAGGCTGGTTGTTTTCCAGTTGAGATGGAGCAAAAGATTTTTGATTTTCTCCCAATAGCAAATGCTGGAAAAAGTGAGAAAGCCATGAAAATGTCCACCATATTTATCCTCTATAGTGAAGTCAAAGAAAAACTAAACAACCAAAGAAACAAAGAGGTCTACTGAATCAACTTAACATCAGATGTGCTCTTACAGCAATATGGGTAACACTTTCTATGAAGGTCATCGCTATAATGACTTATATAAATATATTTATAATACGATATAATGCATCCATAAGACATTATAACAATTGTTATAATCACTTACAAACATGCATTAGGTGATATAGCAAAGTTCATAATGTATTGTGGCCTTTTGATTTAATGTTTTATAACTAATAGTAATAGCAGTTTAGATACACTTTAGTCACAATTTAGAATTAGTGATATATAAAATAGAATAATAGCTTATAGTAATGTTTAAAGTTATATAGCATGTCTTTGTTTGCTTTAAGTAAAGTGATAAAATATCTATCTAATATCCCTGTATAATATATTACAGATGGACATAATACCATATGAACTAATTATAAGACCTTATAACACGTCATTGTTTGCTTTAAGTAAAGTGACACACATTTTGCGCAGGAAAACAACTTTTATTTATGTTTCTTCACTTTAAGAACTGTATGCATTTTGAACATTTTGCAGTTTAGCACAAAAACACAACATAATTACATCAAGAAAACTCATTTATCAGGGTGGTGAAAGATCGCTCAAGAGAAGACCTGTTGCCGACCACTTAACTTAAATATTTTCCTCTGCTAACTTTCCCCATCACGTTCTGCTGCTCGCTCTCTCTCATTCATAATCAATTCAGAATCTTCCACTTCCGCATCGCAAAGAAGTATAATATAGTGTGCTATAATGTTCACGGAACTCAAATGGCGGAACCTTCAGAACTACAGCGCCCGGACAGTCGGAGGTGTGCACATAACAACCCGTGATTAGTCTGTTACTGGTCTGAGACCAGTGTTTTATTCGACGCATTTTGCCGCTGCTGAATTAATGACCACGCTACTAAAATTTCACACGGTCATCAATATGACTGCGACATTGATTTTCACTTGCACACCGTGCAGCAACACTCATCGCTGTTTTGGCTCCTGTGTGCAAAGCGAGTTTGTGCCAGCGAAAGAGAGAGCCAGCAGCAGAACGGGGAGAATGTGACGGTGAAAGTTAGTGGAGGAAAATATTTAAGTTACTTAGTAAGTTGTCCGTCAGGCAGACATGTGCAGTGTAGGTCACAGTGTGTCCTGTTGTTTCCGCAACTGCTGGAAAAGTGAAGGCGGTTAGTGCTAGTTAACAGATCCCCGGTCTCACAGTGTCACGTTAGCTAAATTAGTAACGGAGTAATGTTAATTAGTTGCGTGTCATTACTACCTAACTTGTTGAGGAATGAGAACAGCGGATTGAAGCTAAACTGGTGTCCTGTACACATAATGTCCATCCTGATAGTTAAGTTAAATTATATTTCAGTGTCCAGAGGAGTCTGACAACTGGTTGTTAAAGGAAGGATGCTGGTGACCAGGAGGAGCTGAGGCTACTAAAGTAAATCAGGGGTGAAAACTAGTCCTTTTAAGCAATTGAGGAGACATTTCTTTTGGATTTTAATGTGCAAACGAAATGCTTAGTTATTATCCAGAAATTACACAGAAAAAAAATTCATCAACATGCTGGGTCTTAAAAAGTCTTAAAAGGTAATAAATCAATTTTGCGAAAATTAAGGCCATTAAAAACTATTTAAAAGTCTTAATCGCCATTTAAAAAGGTATTAAATTTTGAAGATATTTTTTTCAATGTGAAAATCCTGTTTGTCCAAAAGGTTGTTTGCTAAAAGTGTAGGTGGACGTATTTATTTATAATGCATAGCCAAAAATAGTAGACAGGCACAGAGCGACTGCGATTCCTTTCTGTAACGTTAGGCGCAGGGATCTACTGTGCGCCTATTTCACTCTTAAACGCTACAAAAAATAGATCTGTGTGAACCGGAAAATGATTTACGAATACAACCGACAAACCCTCCGGACCCGCAATGTTAATCGTCCAAAACATAGTCGGAGTGGCGATCAGGAGTAACGGGATTAACCCGGTTGGCCGGTCGCTCTGTGGCCACTTTGAACAGCCCCGTTCCTGAAAAACAAGAGCGAGATGCGCCGCCAGCAGCGAAATCAGTAAGACAGAAGACAACAGGGAAAATTCAAAGAGCGTGTGAGTTTGGCTAACGTGTGCCGGCTTTTTTAGCTAAAGCTCTGCTTTTTAGTGAAACAAATTCAACTTTTCATAAAGCCGATGCTCTCGTCAGTGTCACTTTTTGTGAAAAAATCAATCACAGCCTGGATGGAGCGGGATTAAAAAAAAAAAAGAAGCTTGATGTGCTGCAACAAACTTTATAAATGTTGTTCTGCATAAACAGTTATGATTATTGACGAGTTAGTAGCCTGCACAAAATCAAGGTTGTAAACTGCACAAAGTTCATGAATAAAAAACAACCCCAAACTGAAGCAGCTGTAATTTGAATTAATATTATAGCCTACTAGTGGTAAGTTATATTCTATTATATGAAATGATATTGAATATAGTAACATGATTAATATATTAATATCAAACTTTTAGTTTACTATTAAATTAACAACATACTTTCAATTTAATGTTAAACCAATACAGTCATTTAGACTAGTTCCTCCTCCAGGTTGTGCCTGTGCTACACCGCCTACACACAAAATTACACTGTGTTTCACATGATTTGCTGTAATGTTGTTTACATAAATGTCATGGCTTATGTAAGATAGTTGCTTTTCACAGGAAATCTGACCAGTCCTTCACATGGAAAACTCTTGGCCCATACAGGTTGTTATAGGCAACTGAGAAAGTTGGTGAATGCCTCAATTTGTAGGTGGCGTTACAACCTGATGACATATTGGTAATAAATATGTTATAAATATCCTTTTAAAACCAAAAAAATGTCCCTTTTAAAGGTGTGTGGCTGATTTAATCGGTTACAGCTCAAAGTGGCCCGGCAGTCTTAAAATATCTTGAAAAAATCTTGAAAAGGTCTTAAAAAGGTATTGAATTTTACTGCAAGATTCTTGTATATACCCTGATCAAGATGGATCACCGCCCTCTGAACTGTAATCAAATCGATTCTCAACCCTACTGCCAAAACAGTATTCCCATTCAATTACTTTAAAATGTCTTTTAATAGGCTTCGTTTTGTTTAATCGTCCACTGCATCTGTTAGGGCCTGTCCATAGGCTCGCCATTCATCTGTGACAACATCTGAGCCTCTTCTTACATGATGTTGGTCGGCAACAGGTCTTCTCTTGAGTGATCTTTCACCACCCTGACAATGAGTGTCCTTGATGTAATTATGTTGTGTTTTTGTGCTAAACTGCAAAATGTTCAAAATTCATACAGATTGTTCATAAAGTGAAGAAACATAAATAAAAGTTGTTTTCCTGCGCAAAATGTGTGTCACTTTACTTAAAGCAAACAATGACGTGTTATAAGGTCTTATAATTAGTTCATATGGTATTATGTCCATCTGTAATATATTATACAGGGATAGATATTTTATCACTTTACTTAAAGCAAACAAAGACATGCTATATAGCTTTAAACATTACTATAAGCTATTATTCCATTTTATATCACTAATTCTAAATTGTGACTAAAGTGTATTTATAATGAGGCAGAGTCGGTGGTACTGTATGTGTTATGGAACATGGTCGGAGATTCTTGCCGCACATTGATATAAACTAGTATTACTATTAGTTATAAAACATTAAATCAAAAGTTCATAATACATTATGAACTTTGCTATAGCGCCTAATGCATGTGTGTAAGTGATTATAACAGTTGTTATAATGTTTAATGGACGCATTATATCGTATTATAAATATATGTATAAGTGATTATAGCGATGACCTTCATAGAAAGTGTTACCGCTATATGCTTATTTCAGAAGGCTTTTTATTATATTTATTTAAATTCTCTTGGAAAATTCTCTCTCAGCAATCAATGAATCAAATACTCTGACACAAAAAAGAACAAAAAGCCGCTATCTGTGGCTGTTGCAGGACCATAATAAGCACTACCTGCCAACCTGTGTGCAATCTGCTGGTACACTCATGAATCTGCCGGTACACATGAAAATGTGTTTTAGTGGAGTGGCTTGGAAGGGAAGCCTGAGGGGATGGGATTTTTACAGTTGGATACTTTCAAAAGTCTCCAACGTTACCTACCCTATCTTTAATTTGAGAAACAGTAGTAGTATCTGTGCCATGCGCATGAGATCAAAATTGTGTCACACCAGAGTCATTAATTTTATTTCTGTCTATCTGACATTGAGGAGCCATACCAACAAGAGTAAAATATAGTATGCAAGATATTGTAAGATTTTAAAAAATAATAACAGGACTGAAAAAAACCCTTTTCAGAACAGACAAGATAAAAAAAGTTTACATCTCTATCCAGAACCCGTCCGGTGCTGTTGAGGTAAAGGGCTTGTTTGGAAGAGTCAAGGATCACCCAGTGTTCATGGTTATCCCTTAGAGACAGAGAGATGGTACGATCTGGACCCTCAGCCACTCCATTTATCTGCATGTTCTCCACCAATAACGTTCCTGGTAATAGAATAAAATAAAAATACTTGTATTAACCCAACTAGAGAGAGAGAGAGGGAGACACAAAGTCCAGAGTTTCTAAATAATACGATTTACATAGCCTCTGTAGAGAAATGGTCCTAGATGGGAAATTATTAGCAAAAGAAAAGGAAAAATAGACAGTCCAAACAGACCCCTCTGCTTTTCTTCATGTTCTCAATGAATGATATACCTGGAAATTATATTTAGGACAGAAAGAGACAGTAAGAAGCATGTGGAACACTAAATTACTGTAAGTAAGTCAGACCACATACAGGGGCTATTCTGTTTGCCTTTTCAATGCCAGTACCTGGAATACTAAGACCAACACAAACTAAAATAAACATTTCATAGAAAAACAGGAAGCTGGTCTGCCAGGATACAGCAAATGTTGTAATGACTTCAACGCTTTCATCTGCACGATTTTACGCCAACACCCCCCCCCCCCATAAAAATAAATAAAAGTAAACATTTTAATAAGACAGACGGCACAGATGGAATAAAACTTGATTAATTTAACAAAGTCAACTGTGGGCGGTGAAGCGATTTGGGAATGAGAGGAAGATTGAAAGACAGAGAGAGAGAGAAAGAGAGAGGGAAATACAAACAGGGTGATGAGACAATGGAAACTCTCAGCTTTATATTTTTAAGCAATGCATATTGTCTCTCAATCAGCATAAAGACAGGTAAGGTTGCGGCAGAGGAGGATAAGGGGTCAGAGAAGGGAACGTCCAGACTTTATTAGTGATTGACAGTGGCAATTAAAATCGAGCGCTGCCGCTGAATTTTCAAATTGGTTTCATTAGTATCTAAGTATCAAAATGTGATTAAATATACTGCTGATTTCACACAGAGATTTCTTTCTTCCACTTTGGTATGAATATTGGGTATTTTTATTTGTACTTGGTTCACATAATCAGTTTCATAAACCAATTTTGGCTGTCAAGATGAATATACACAACTATTATCTGTCACGGGTTATTTTTAAGTTTACTGGAAAATATTATAACAGAAGAGGTGCATAAAATATGTGAGGAAGAAGGAGAAAAAAATGTAGAGAAGCAAAATATTTAACCACTTTACAGCCCTAAATCACAAGAGACCTAATACACACTGCATTATTAATCCCCCCTATAACAATGTACCTGGAAAAAAAACTATTTTGTGTATACAAGTATGCAAGTGTGTATACTAATACATATACACAAAAAAATTTGGCTATAAGGCAGCTTGTCCTCTGGACTGTCACCAATGACACTACCAAACACTGTGTCAGTAAGTGAGTGAGTGAGAGAAAGAGAGAGAGAGACAGAAAAGTAGAGCAATAGACAGAGAGAGTGAAAATTAGAAATGACAGATAAAGACAGAGATTTAGAGAGAGAGAGAGAGAAATTGGCTAAAAGAGGCAAGCATTGTGTTGGTTTGCTTGTGTGTGTATGTGTGTGCATCCTAGAATACTTTCATACTTTCCCTCCATCCGCACACATACAACAGCATAAACACACACGCACTGAACAATCTAATATCTGATCTGCCAGACATAAAATTGGGTCATGGCCTTCTGTGCTGCCATGGAAACCCTGTCAAATGCCTTGCTGTGATTGGCCGATGTTAAATAAACGGCGAAATTTAGTGAAATTGGTTTCTTTATACCAGAAATGGGATAGAAAATTGACTTCATTAGGGAACTTTCATTCCTTGCCATCTATTGGCTATCTCTCTTCTGGTTTCTGCTTCTGTCTTGGAACCTGAGTAAAAAAACAGAAGTACATGCAAAGAAGAACGAGAAAGATAGTGCTTACACCTTGTGTAACTGTTTCTAATTTAATTCCACAGACCATCTAACACAAATGTGCTCTTTTCACAGTGACCTCACTTCACAGGATGTATGACTGAATACTGCACTCAGCAGCACCTGATTATATTGACCCATGTGTTAAAGCGCACAGGCAGAACCGCACGAGGCTGTTGAGTGTCTGTGCAGCAACGCAGAGAGCAGACAGAAGGAACTTCCCAAGAAAAAGCAGCACGAAGAGCAATTAGAGAGCAAGAGAAATGAGAAAGGTAGCATAGGAAATTGAGGTGAGAGAGATCTGGTTGAATGGGGGGCTGATAGAATTAAAGAGTAAAGAGAATGTTATGAGAAAATAGAGTGAAAATGAGCATTGTGGCAGCACATTAATAGAATTTTTACAGGACATTGGCTTAACTGAATGTGGCGGCACTGCTACGGTGTCAGCCAAGTATGAGCCATGAACTGAAAAGTAATCATCAAATCTACCTGCTGCTTCTCTGCTCTTGGTGGTGGGATGAAAGAGGGATTTAAGGCGAATACCAGTATACAGTAGGTAGGATTACAGAAGTAGCAACACATTCTCATCTCAGGGCATCAAATACCAATGCTTAGAGAAAGCCTGAAAAAATGTTGGTATTTGACGCACAAGGTACCCTTCAGTGTCCATATGAAACACCTTTTTAAGGTTTAGGCACAAAAAAACTACTTGGTTAAGTTTAGGAAAAGGTCATGGTTTCTAGTTTGGTTTAGAAAAGGTCATGGTTTTGGTTGAAATAAGTACATTATGTGATGGCGGATGGGTTACATTGGAGTTACTTGAAAGCCAAGGGCGTCTCATACAGACGCTGAAGGGTACCATGTGCGTCAAATGCCGACGCTTTGTCAGGCTTTCTCAAAGGATTGGTATTTGACGCCCTGGGATGAGACCAGGCTTGAAGTAGTGAATTTAAACATTTATCTAACATTTGACCTGACATAATTTAATCACAAAAAAAAAATTCATTATCTGAGAAAAGAGGAAAATAAGCTACAGTTAGCAGCTATAATCAATGTTTTTTAACGCTAGCATTTGTGTGAGTCCGGAGACCGCAGATGCTTTTCTCCAGGTGCACAAAGTTGGAACCACCTATTGCCTGATCTCGCAGCATTTGTCTTGAAGATCAGTCATTGTTCTAAGCTCACAGTGAGCTCATGCACGTAGAATGTGTCCGACTTGACGGCGCGGATTGCTGATGACACATCTACTGTGGGTCAAGGTGTTCCACTGGCTAAACAATACTAACCACCAAACTACTACTCCACCAAACCAAATAAAAAATAAGTAATTTCCTTATCTGTAAATTGTAGGTACAAAAAAACGAAAAAGGAAGAAGCCTACTTTTCAGTGTTGCTTTTGACATACATAATCTTCATAACCAGATTCAGCATTTTCTGTTTATTCATTAGAATATGATGACGACGCTTGTGTATTATTAGGTATTTACTTTTTGTTGTATTTCAACAATGATCTTAACCCTAATAGTTGTTAGTAGAAGTTGTTTTACATTTAAGAATGTAAAACAACTTCAGTTGACAACCCTTTAGCTAATAAACTTTCCTGCTGTAAATAGAAGGTGGGAAGCTTTTCTATCCATGTATTGAATAATCACCATTTTATTTGGCTTCAGGACCCCAGCAGCGTTATTGGTGGCCTTGCTGAGTATATTTACAGCAGAACACTAATAATGTTAGAGCTGTAAGCGTAGATGATTGTATAATATTACATGCAATTTTGTATGCTGATGTAGCATGTATTATCTGCTAAATGATACACTTAATGCGTCTGAGGAATATTATGGTGTATAAGTCTGACTGAAAGTCTGACTGATGTGAGACTGAAGGGTTTTTGCTCTGTGTGTGTCGTCTAAATGCGTGTGTTTGTGCATGTGCGTGTGTGTGTGTCTGTCTGTCCTACTACCACACCTTTCCACTCATTCTAATCGTCCTTTTACTTCATATTATTAAAATCACATCCCTAATTTCAACATTATCTTTTTATGGCATATTCCCGAGGAAAAACTCCCTAACTTGTATCTTGTTACTCTCTCGTTCCCTCCCTCCGCCTCTTTTCTTTCCTCGAGTCTATCTCTCTCTTTTGCCTACACCAACCCATGATAATCACCCTAAAGCGTGATTTTCTATTAAATCTGTAACACTATTTCACAGCCACAGTGCAATACATGGCATTATGCATACAAACCATTCTAATATTAAATTATTCTTCAGTGGGCCTGTTAGGAAGATTACTGCAAAAACAAGCACAAGCACACATGCTATATTACATAGTATGTACACAATGAACACATCAGCACAAAGACAAACAAACCATGCAACATAACCATTGTTGTTAGACAGAACATGCAGATACACACACACACACACACACACACACACACACACACACACACACAAACACTCATATAGCTCATATAGCATGTGAGCACACATCTGTTACTTTATGAACACGAATAAGTAAGATTTTTATTGCCACACAGGCACAAAAGTAGAACATTATTGTCCTCTCAACCAACCTGCAAGGCTAAACTACTATTATATCTTGAAATTAAAGAAATGTAACTATTTCGTACCTTTTATAAAAAAAGGTATAAAATACCCCTCAATTTTGCAGTTACAGTTTGATTTACTCACTTAGTTGTGGTAGGCAATTTATTTCAGAAGCATTTCTGAAATGTTATATTTATTGAAATGAAATGATTGGCTGACCTAACTACCTACCTGCACACACTGTGAACTCATTGCACATTAAAATGTATTTAAAGGAGTGGCTTTGGAGGGAGGCCTGAATGGAGGGAGTGGGATTTTTTTTAGTTGAATACTTGGATAATGATACTGGTTCTAGATAGTTTCTTCAACATTGCCTACCCAAGCTTTAAATCTCTAAATAATATTTTCCTACTGTCTAGTTGTTGAAATGCCAGAAGGAGGAGAGGATGCCATAACAAAGTTGATAAGCTTGTCTAAGTAGCCCTGTATTAGGTGTGCTCACAGCAATAAGCTTAACAGCAGTGGTGAGTGATCTGCCGACTTTGTATTGCCCTGGATTTCACCTCTCAGGCTACAGGCTACTGTCCAAACCTCTGATAAGTGGACGCTGTACATGCAGCCTGAGAATATGACCTGCAGACACTGCTCAGGGCTGCAAAAAATTACTGAAAACACCTCTGCATGTCTTTTGAGTGAAAAGAAAAAAAACACAACAAAATTAATATTTTTATAGTCCATATAAAATAGGCTAAAATTGAAAATGAATCAAATATTAAATATTACATATGACTGTACAAGACAGTGCTCTTTTTATTGAAGATGCAATATTTATCTATCATATGAGGTCAAAACTGTCACTTTAACACATTTTACATTTTACATAGTATTTAAATTTTTTGTACAATACCATTAATTTGAAAGTATGATGTGACACATTTTTTTATCAAGTCTTATTTTCAATATTGACATGGAATAGAATTGACCATTCACATACATGCGTCACTGTTAAATGAGCTTAAAAGGCTTTTAACTTGCTTCAGTGTAAAAGAGCAGTGCAATATAATATAATTAATTTTGCAATTAATTGCAATAAATCTAATAAAAAATACTTTCCTGGATGAAAAAGTAAACAATAACCCATTCAGGTGTGTTGAAAGCACTAACTGTCATTGATGACCAACGTGGGTGGCAATAGGAAAAGCTAAAAAAAATGTCCTTCACTTAATTACCAGTCCCAGACTGATGTGCATAAAGTAAACACTCTTCTGAATGAAGAAAATAGAAAAACACAGCATGGATGGCTTAATAGGATGCATTAAGCTATCAACAGATATAGACATGCCAGCTGGATAGAAAGAATGCGCAGCTCTCCTTTCTGTCTGGTGTTGCTATGCTAATCTCTTTTTGTCAGTTAGGATTACAGCGATCAGGTCTCACAATTTAAAACTTAGTTGAAAAGCAGACATGGCAAACATCTTGACAGGTTTCTGATTCTGAGCAGTAATCTATAGGCTGGAGATAAGAGGGCGATTTAACCACACAGACCAACTTGTCTGTGTTCATTTCACCTTCCCCCCATAAGATTTAGTGGCCTTCCTCAAGGCTAACATAAGCCTTAATTTACTTGTGACCAAAGTAAGCATTAAACTCATCAATTAAAATGTGATCCCTCCACAAATAACCTCCTCTGAACTTCACAAAAATTATGTTCATATAAACAAAAGCCTGCACTAAAACACAGTCCCAAGGAGACTCTGGGATTGTGTGCTTGTTTATGTTCCTCTGTAGAGTCTAAATTAGCTAAGAAGGTCTTAAACAGTTTGAACTAACTCTGGAAACAAAAACACACACTGAAAATATTTTCTTTGGTGCTCTGATAAAAGGTGTCTGAAAACTTTGGCAGCCTTATATTTGTTTAGTCATGTGGTTCAATGCGGTAGGAGAGAAGAGAAGAGAAGAAAAATTGTCTAAAATATTCAAACTAGGACTTCTAGTCAAACAAATGTCTGTCATTGTTGTCTAACTCAAGGACCTCTTTCCATAACAACCACTTGGCACACAACATAAAGGTCTGGGAAAACATAAATAATTCATTATATTTTTATTTTTATATTATCTACCTACTTAAACATCAAAAGCTTACTAATTAACACATTGTGTTTGTTTAATCAAACAAACATATAAATTAAGATTTTTGGATTTTGTTATTAATAGAAACCATCAATATTTCTTGGTTGGGTGCAGTCACTTCCTGCCTGGTAACCTATCGAGACTCCAGGTATGAATTAAACAAATAAGATTTAACATGTTAGTTAGAGCTTTGAAAGTGCTGGTAGGCAGATTTTGGCAGAGCTAGGCTAGTTCTTTCTCTTCCAGTCTTAAAGCTAAGCTTAGCTAATCGGCTGCTGGCTGTAGCTTCACATTTATACAAGAAAGATATTGGTCTTCTTTCTCAGCAAGAAAGCAAATATTCGTATTGCTTAAAATGTCAAACTCTTCTTTTATGCATGCGTTCACACATAGAAAGACACAAACACAATCAAACACACATATTTTTGTTGTTTATGCTCATACACAGGGATTTAGCTCAAACTGAATGACCTTAATGTCTTATCTCCCGGAACGGGGATCCAACTTCAACACAGTTACACAGTTATCTAATGAATATTAATGACTATGGGTTACATACCATGCCAATCATCTGAAAAGGTCATGATCATCTAACAGTGTTTGTTTGTAACAAACGGTAAAAGGTGATGATTATCTTAAAAATGTTCTGAATACTTTACCGTTGGGGCTTTCTTCGTCTATGGCAACGATGGTAGCAGGAGGACCCGACCGAGACAATTTACATTCTGGGAGGGTGAAAAAGAAAAAGAGAAAATTTAGAGTTATCATTGGTAACCTCTCAGGTTTCACTGCTTTATCTGCTTTAGAAAAGCCTGAACTCAATTGTGAAGCATATGGATTTACTTGTGCATGTTAGTATTTAAAAGGAAAATGTTTTGCTCTCTCTCTCTCTATATATATATATATAGTGAGCAAAACATTTTCCTAAATTTCATGTATGTATATATATATTTGTTTATATATATATACACACATATATACATACATACATACATATATATATATGTATATTATACATTAAGGTGAAAATAGGAGAGGAGTAGAGAAAAGAGGTGTATGGGGTTAGCAGAGGAAAGTAAAAAACAAGAGGAGAGAAAAATATCTGTATCTAGACAGAAGAAAATGATGATGGACGGGGAAACACTCATTATAGAAAAATAGAAATAGTAAAAAACAAAATAAAACGAAAAATAAAATAAAACATCATGGCAAAGAAATGCTGAGTACGACTGTAAGATATAATCGAGAGCTTATTAGCCTCATTGTTTTCTTATATAATCATACAATCAGAGTGAAATGTAGTAGAAAAATAATTGGTAAATACAGGCATAAACCCCCTACAATCATCCCTCTAGGGTTTATGGGGGTTAATAACAGTGACTGAACATACAGTTAACAGAGGAAGAGAGAAGAGATAGTTCTTACCCTCATATTGCCAGTCTACAGTTTGGGACAGCCACATTCCATCAGGAAGGAGAGAGGAGAAGCAGGATGGTAGTATCCAAGGGAGGAAGGAAGAAAGAAGGAAAGAGCAGAAGAAAGAAATCATGAAGGATAAGAATGAAACTTCAGAGCAAAGTACGACAACAAGACAACCAATAGAAAGGGGGAGGAGGGAGTGGGGAGTCAAACATGAAATAAGCAGAGGACAAGCAAGTGTGTTTACATTTAGGCTTACAGTATAGAAATGTTCATGTGCTTATCTCTGTAAGCTTTTCCACCTCCATTCACAGCCACCACCCGCACTTACTGTATTACTATGACGAGAAATAATTTTAACCCAAGCTGGAGGCTTAAAATGGGCCCATTCAGAGGGGAAAAAAGGACCGACATTCAAGGATTCTCCTTTATCCCTCTGTCCTTGCCAGAATACGGAAATACAAGAACACCCACATTCACCAGGCAGGGTAAAATTATTGTACAGCTCTCGAGGACAGTTGGGAAATATCCCACGGGGGAGGCTGGAAGACAGATATCTATCTGCTCACCTAGAAAATAAACTTCATGGATCTATGATCACACTTTCTCTCTTTTGGACTCTCTCCCCGATTAAGCGATACAACTGTAGGACATCATAGATTATCCCAGGATTCATTGGTATTGTGTCTTATTTCTGACTATGGGAGACAGTATTGAATGTACCCAAATATAGATTAAACTGTCCTAGGGCTCCGAATTAGCTTATCTCAGTGCTGAAAAGGATTGGTTTTCCAATTTGTCATTCTGAGAAGGAGGCCCAGTAATGTTTTCAAAGGCATAATGATTTACAACTGACCCTCAAATCAAGCCAAATGCCAGCTTATGCACTTTACTATACATTTTACACTTGTTGTTTTGTAAGTGTATGACATATCTAGTGGCAAAGATGCTTAAACATTAACTACGCTCGTAGTTGTCATATTAGCTATGAATAAGCTTGTCTACATCGTTTATTAGCAACTAAGAAGACTAAGAATTTGTTCGAGCTAGCATTCAGAGATGGTTATTCTGTCAGGCAGCATGACAAGTAAAGAAGTTCAAACTGTACCAACAATAGTATACTCAAAGCTTAAAAGTTATTACTGCTTATACTGCATTGAAGTCACAGTGAGAGGTTGGGGTGGATAGATGAGTATACAAAGCACAGGACTTTGACACAGGGTTCGTGTTCTGTGTCCCAAAGCACAGTAGTGCTTTTAGTTAAATATTAAAGGAATAGTTCAGCATTTTGGGAAACACACTTATTCGCATTCATTTTGAGAGTGTGATAAGAAGGACAATACTAACCATATTGCAAAAAACAACAATTTGTGGCTTTAGTAAGAGGTACATTATAAGCATTAACTATTGCTTGGTGACAGCTGGAATCACACTGAGACATCCTGCAAGGAGGTGCTGTATAGAAGTGCTGGGCAAGTGGATAAACTGTTGTTCATCAAAACCATCTAAAACCACAGAATGACATTTTTGCATTGCAATTTTTGCATGGATCAAACAAACAAGATACAGTCTGTTAATTAGTGAGGCTCGTGCAGACTACACGACTTTCAGCATCGGCCGATGGCCATGCTTTTCACACTACACAACTTGCCATCTTGTAATGGGGAGTCTTGAAGTCGTTGTGGCGTTCATGCTACGTGACTGATCGGTGACAGGGGGTCACATACTACATGAGCTGACTGCGACTGTGTCACTCAACGCTGGTCTCCAAACCACGTTTTTTCAAGAAAACACACGTGAAATGTGAAACGGGAAATGACACGAGCCTACACACGAAACAGCTTATTATGAAGCTAGCAATTATAAAGACAAAGATTATGGGTGAAATAATTGATTAGCACACACAGGTAGCAGGGATCATCTGTGCTACAGAGAGAGTTGGAGATGAGTAAAAAGTGTTTTGCAGTGAAAAAGTAGCTGTCTGCTCTGCCAGCTGCCTGCTGTCATTGGCTGAATGTGGATGTCGAGTCGGCCGACTCCTCCAGATGTTTAGCATGCTAGATATCTGGCTGGCGTCTGTGATGTGTCAGTGATGACGTCAGGGAGCCGTTTTTAGACGTCGTTGAGTAGTTCAGACATAACGACTAGCTCGATCACTGATTTAACGTTGACGGTCAACCAGCTCCCCAGTGGCCCCCCCTGGCAAGGAGCATATGCATAAAATGCTATATACTGTTTATGTTATGTAACCCCTTGGTTTGAGTTAAAAGGTCAATAGCAGCAATTATGTGTTCTCATATTAGGCTCTGTCACTTTAAGAGGGCAACCTCTGACCCTGAGGTGTGACAGACTGTGATGTTTATTTTAGGAGAGGCCTCCGTTTCTAAAATTGTGACTGGTTAAGGGGCGGGACTAACAGGCAGAGCAGAGCGGAGTACACCGGTGTTGTGTCGAATGTGTGTGTTGTCTGTTGAGGCTGCAACAAGCTGCAGAAGAAAGAAAAGTCTAATTTAATTAATGTACAGAGACAGTTAGTAGCCTGGCTAGTTTATAATAAGTTTGTCACACTGCTACACAGTTTTGTGTATTGTACTATGCATGAGAGCTAATAGTCTGCAGAAGGCAACAGGTTAGCACCATCGCTAACAGCAAGCTAACGTGGTAAGAACACTGAAGCCCTGACAGCGCCGCGTGTGACTGGCTGTTAACGTTATGCTTTGAGGGAGACCGTCCTGTGCCTGTTTTCACCTTCATCTTTGTGAAAGGATTGCAAAATATGAGAACAGCAGGAGTCATCTGGACGATGCTGTGAAACTGGAACAAGCGCTCCAGTGAGTAGCACAACAAACACTGCGGGGCCACGATGAGTCGCCGGTCTGTTTGAAAAACTTCAGTCACCCAGAAGTTTGCCCAGAGGAAAAACTGTCAGACTGCCTTTCTCCTGACGTGAGGCCTCAGCTCTGGTGAGTGAAAGCATCTTTTATCATCCTGACTCTGCTGCTGGTCCCTGCATGGGCAAATTGTTGTGCTGGATCGGTTGAGACTAGGCTACAGAATACGGTTGTTGTCATGATGTTGTTGTCACATAGCCACTTTCATACTGCCTTATTATAGTTTGCTGATTCGCTGCACTGTATAAAAGGTATGGAGCCGGGAATGAGATATATATTGGCTGACATTCTTTCCGTTTTGATTGCAGGATCTCTGTGGAAAGCGGCTATAGAAAGGCTCTGGATCCCTAAAACTTTGTCTTTGCGCGTCGTTGACTTCATTGGTGTTGAGCTTACTGCTCTTTGATATGGCCCTGTAGGCTCATTTGTTCTGAGCTTGGTTGTGTCTGCTTATTCTAGGTTTGTGACAGTGGTACTGTAACTTATGTCAATGCACTCCTCTCTCGCTCTCTCATGTTAAGTGTTTTGTGGAGCCATGCTGTTCGTTGACATGTTAAAAAACACAGAAGCAAGAGAGAGTATTGTAGTTTTACTGGTATTTATGTTTTGAAATGGTTGGTGCCCCACCAGTTTTACATATAAATATGACACTGGTCAAATCGGTTGTTAAAAAGTGGGATATTTCAAGAATAAACATCCTAGTTGTTTGTAACAAGAATAACACCAAACTTAGTATGTTAACAAATAATTACACAACTCTACACAGACACAGCTTGCAACAAGATGGCTCCGCAGATGGCAGCCTCTGGACTACACTCTGTAGTGCTTTTTGTGTTTTTGTTTATTAACACTGTTTTCTGCCGTCCCTCTCTGGTAACATTTACTGGAGAAGAGCTCTTAAAGATTGGGCTTTCAACTGCTCATACTATTGCACACTGTGACATCTTACATGAGTTTTTGTGAGGACATGTGTGTGCCGACTAAAACCTTCTGCACAACAACTGCTCCTCAAGAGATCCATCTGTGAAACTCCTGAAGTTTGCTGACGACCGGGACGGTGATGAGTCGGCCTACAGACGGGAGGTTGATCAGCTGGCTCTCTGGTGCTGTCAGAACAACCTAGAGCTTAACACGCTCAAAACTGTGGAGATGACTGTGGACTTCAGGAGGAGCCCCCCCACTCTGCCCCCCTGTCACCATACTCAACAGGCCTGTGTCTGCTGTGGAATCCTTCCCAGGACCTGAAGTGGGAGCCCAACACGGACACCATTATCAAGAAGGCCCAGCAGAGGATGTACTTCCTGCGTCAGCTCAGGAAGCTCAACCTGCCTAAGGACCTGCTGATCCACTTTTACACAACTATCATCCAGTCTGTCCTCTGCACATCCATCACTATCCTCTGGTAGGCGCTACAGAGCACTGTACGCCAAAGCCAACAGACTTAGGAACAGTTTCTTCCCACAAGCCATCACTCTGATGAACAGCTGATTTGACTCACGGTGTCGGGAACAATTCTTGTGCAATAACCCAGTAACTCTGCCTCTAATCAGCCACCTGTTTACTGGCTAACACTTATTATTTATTCACCATTCTGTATTTCAGTGCTGTTCATACTGTTATATTGTCATACTGTAGATACTGTATACCTAATCCACCTACATCAAGTCATTAATCCTGCACAAAATACTTAATACTTATTTATTCCAGCATCCTTTGCACTATGCTTAATTGCACTGTGTACATGTATGCATGCATATGTACCTGTAGATCACATCCACCTCCGACATGTACATACTCCTGCATCCTTTGCACTCTGCACACTGCACTATTTGTCAATATGTCTATATTGTTTTTGTTCATAGTGTGGATATTTGTCTTGTCTACACTGAAGTCTGTGTCAGTTTTTTTTTTCTGCAATCAGACACAGACACACAGGCAGGCAGAGTGACCACAGGGGGAAACAGACATAACCAGACCAAAATGCAACACAACTTAACATCAAAAAGCAAACTAAACACAATAGGAAACAAGCGCGCAAGACGAGACAATGTCAACTAAACAATCACCAGACATAGAATACAAACCAACACTTAGCACACAGAAAACTTAATAATACAAATAAACTACAAC